TCGTCTGCTGGCAAATCCTTACCATTAGCGCAACGGTTGCACAGTCCGAGTGTGCAAAGATTGGCCCCATAAGTGGGTCAAATTTTCCCATCCTGAAATTTCAATACTCCGCATCGACGATGCTACCCGAAATGAGGCAACCCGGTTCGCCTGATCGGGCACTTTGGCATCAATCGCAGGGAACCGCTCCTGGCCCATCCGCCGCTCCAGAAAAAAACGCCACCGAAGAAATCACTCCCAAGTGCGACAACGATTTTCAAGCATGGTTCATCTTTGCTGGACACGCCGAACCCTCCGCAACGCGGAATATAGCAGGAGACCAAGGGCAACTGCCGGCAGAGTCGACACATCAACCTCTCCTCATTATGGCCGCATTTTCAAACCCGCGGTGGCCTAGTCGGACATTTGTGCATCCATTGTTGTAGGAGTGCTGAACAGCTACCAGGTGCCCCGGATAATGGCAGTTAGGCCCGTCTAACGTGCCCAAATCGCACTCGCACCCTCAGGCACCGCATTGTTCTATCCTGACACGTGTACACCCGAAGAATAAAGCATCATCCATTACTCAGGCAGCAAACCTTTTGGTGAACTTGGCCACCATTGATGACGATGGGTGAACTATCACAGGTATACCCAGAACGAGGCGAGGAAGACGCACAAATGTTGTTGCATACCAGGTCTCCGCGTCGTTGGCCAACGGTTGTACCGGAAATCATGAGTCAGAGATTCATAATCACTGAAATCCATGTTACGGCACTGGACAACAGAACTTGCAAACTCCTGCTACTAACAAATACCACACCAAACTGCAACAACGATGCGAAGGCGAAGGCTAATTTAGGTTTTTTTTGACAAACAACTTTTCTAGTAAATAGAGCTAAAAAGACGTAGTAATGGGGTTTAAATTATGCTGAAAAGTAAGTGCATATGACGAAACTTGCCTCTGAAAATGTGTGAAGGGACTCGATAAGTACAGGGGCTACCTTCATGTGCCACGTGAAGCATACATTTCCAGAAGTGTGTAACCGAAAAGCGGATGGCACCGTCCACGTTGGCTGTTACAGCATTCTAAAAAACGGTTCCATTAGTAATGCATGCAAGCAAGTAAACCACTAAACGGAGTACATGAGGTATGGCTTAGGAGAGAGCGGCCAGATCAGGACGAATACATATTTTCCCGCTCTCATTCTTCGCTCCCCATTCTCCGCGGCGTCTCGAACTCCAAAAAAGAATTAGAGGTTCAGAAAACAATCAAAGTTCTACAAATTATGCGAAGACAAACGATTCGCAATCCGAAATAGTACTGAAGGTTACTAAAAGACGCCAAATTTTAAGCTACCACAGTAAGCACCCGTTATGTTACAAACGCAGTTGTGAGCGAACACTCTACAGAGGGGTAGGAACACACTGCAACGAACCGGACAACAGATTAGAACTACGCTACCTCCAGCGTCTCTTCATGGCCAACGGGCGTCCACGCAACTTCATCGAACGCCGGAGGCAGACCCGTTGCTTTGCCAATTGACATCCAACCGCTTTCCGTAGCGCTATTGAAAGCCCGTCAACAGACGTCTTGAAAGACGCTTTACAGGCTGCTCTCATTTCCCGCGCCTCCTTTCAACCCAAATACATTTGCAGCGTTTGACTACTGGGAAAGATCTTGATGATAGGAAGCCCATACGGCCTTCTACGTGCCTCAAGAAGTTGACAAACGGACGAAATCTGGATGTAAGTGTTCAAGCATAGTTTCTTCCGATGATTGACTTACTCTTTGCAAGCTATCCTTGCGACTAAGAGCCCTAACTCCCACTGATCACATCTGCGGGTATTACCAGTCGACAGTTGCGGTCCACGCCCTAGTTGTGCCACATCCTACCCAGCTGCGCCTACCATCGAGGAACTAATTAAACGTATAGACATCCTCACCCCTGGAGTTGCCAGTTTCGCACTACGCTTCATCCGCACCGGCGAAGTCCTTCAACTACTCACCACCCGGCATCTCCCACTACCGTTTCGGGCTTGTTAACAAATGACGGTTTTTGCCGGAACGATCATATGTGGGGTCTCGACGCACATCGAAGAAGTCCGATCTTCATGACTCTGTCATGACTCCGGGCCCAGGTGGGGAAGGAGAAAGTGCGGTAGATGCAGCGAAAGTGCGCTATCACTATAAAAGATATCACGCGCAAGTCACCGTCCCTGTTCCCACCCTGCTATGGAGTACACAGTGAACATCGTCGGTCACGACGGTCGAACTGTTGGTTGTTCCATGAGTCTGATGCACGTGGTGATTGTTCCACAGCGTCCTTATCTGACACTCAGCTCTTATCTCTGAATACCTGAAGCTATGCTTGGCTTGGCGGTCACACCCGAGAACCGCCTCGGGTGGTGGGCTAAACCAGATGAGGGTATCCGGTGTGTCGCCACAATCGGGCAGTCCTGTCTCATTAGCACTCCAAAAAAGGGAAAAACCCTACAGGATGAGTGACAACGATCCCGTAGACGGCTCAAGTTAATTCGCGTTGCCTTCTCAAAAGACAAAAGTCCTGATACACTGTGCAATTCGGCAGCCACCTGCGATGACTATGCAGCCGGACTCTGGGGTAGCAGTGCTTGCCCCGTCGTGCAAAAGTGGCTAGAAAAGGTGACCAAAACAAATACTGGGTAGTAACGTCGTTTGTAAGCTGGTCGTGACTCGTGGACGTAAAATATGCGATCAAAATACATGACGACACCAAAACCCCTGTCCTCTGTTCCATTCCTCTTCCCACCCACAGGCTGATAAAGTGACGCTGTTCACTCAACAGCCTCAGGATAATACTCAAGGTGAAGTGGCAGAAAAGGATCTCTGGCACTGAAATCCCACAAAAACTGACGCTCCCAATACCCCGCCATGCTGAGGCAGATATAACTGCGATGGTGCGGCAAACTCCTGGGAATAAACGACATGCGTCTCCCCAAGCGGCTATTCTATGACGACGTAGCTACGGACGCTAGAAGGCACGGAGAACACAGGCATCACTACATGGACAACTTTAAAACCTGCCACGGGTAAATCCAAATAAACTCTGACACCTGGGTACCTAGTTGAAGATCGGCAGGCGTGGTGACTGTTGCAGAAACTGGAGCAGTCATCTCTGAAGCCAACCAAACAGCTCCTGTCAAGGGGAAAATAGAAGTTGCAAGACTCAGGTACTACGAATCAACGACGTACGCGCCGGACTCCTGCTACCGCGTCTACAGTTCAAGGACATTTCGGACTGGCCTTGTTTGATATTTTCGGATACAGTGCAATGACAAAACGACCAGCCTGCCTCCTATCTCACAATAAGCCACCACTAGAATTGTTAGTGAAGACACTTATCATCCTGCAGACCACCACCACCACCACCGCCACATTTGCTATTGTTTCTGTCGCAGGTAGCGTGAACTGTTCTCAATGATTTTCGATGCGCTTAAAAATCAAATTATATTTCATGGAAAGCATGCACAAAAATATCCATTCTTCTACTGATTGGGCTGAAAGTTACGTCTTCTTCCAATCTTATACTTGAGAGAATTGCATAATTCGGTTTTAAAGGTTTCTAATTATGAGATTTTTTTAATACCGTGAAGTGCCCCTTCATAAAACATCGTGTCTCTGCACTTAAGTGATGTGCTTGTAAGGTTTACAATATGGCTCAAATACACTGCTAAATTTTATGAACCCCATATAGTTTCCTCTTAATACCATAAAGAAATATATGGTTTTCCGTACGCAGAAAATATATGGTTTGTAGATTGTAAACCCTGAATGCAAGTGTGACAACAGGCCGGGTTCAAGGTTATTTGGGAATTGGAAAAGTCCTTGAAAACCGAATTATACCCTTCCTTCGAGTGCAAAATTGGAAGAAGACTAATTTTCTACCAAATGAGTAAAATAATGAATATCTTTACGCATTCTTTCCATGAAATATAATTGAATTTTTAAGGGCATCGGAAACCAATGAGCGTGGTTCTTGCATACGGCCGGAAAAATGTTCGTTCGAAAACCAGCATCTCGAGGTAACTGAATTACTATAGAATTATGCTGCATAAGGATTAATTTTAAAAGCCTACTTAAGTAATCTTCTCGAAACGAAAACGCATTCCAGAGTTTCGGTTAACATTTCATGAGTTGGCACACCCACCGTATGCTTAGGCCACATATGTACCTAATCCACGACACGAGCATGCATGCCACCCACCATAGCTGCATTGCTCTCCTCTGCAGCAAGCATGCGATACACTCGGCCAGCGGCGAAACGTATGTCAGGACATGCACATCCCATGCAAATTGGAAACATGTGCTCTGGTTTGAGGAGTCCATTGGTGCATTAGGAGAGGAGGCACAGAGGTCCACAGTGGGGAATCCATCCGCAGAACAAATCAGCGCATCTCCCCTATAAAAAATCGGACGCACTTGATTCTGTCCTGACGTGCTAGGAGTCGTGGCCTGGGATATTCCCGACGGGATAACTCATTTCCTCCCACGACTAGATGTTAGGCTTTAATGGTTCACTCTTAATGTGACTTCTATGGCATCCTCGCTTGTATGAGGTCCGAATAGCCTTATTGTACCTGGCACATTTAACGGTGACTCGGTCGTGCGTAGTACGCGCATGCGGGCTACTTAGTCCTGTCAGCCACTACACGGCCGTTTTGGCAAGACGGGTGCGGGAAGAGAGAGTGCAGTAGGTGCTGCCCAATCCTGTCTCATTATAAAATGACTCGCGTGCCGGTCACCGATGCTGGGCCCACTCCCGGCGACTAGTGGTGGGCAGCTTCGTTTGCGACGAATAGACTGTTGTTGCTCGATATGTTGGGGACATGGCACCTTAAACCAAAGATGGAGACTCCGGGCGTGGGAGTCGCAGGTTAAAAACGAAAGAATCACTCTCAGCGTGCTGAGAAGCAAGTTTTAGTACAAAGTATTTATTTCAGTCAAAAATATAATCTAAGTGTGCCTAAGATGTGCAGCATTAGCCGAATCTTTTGCCCAGCACAAGGGTATGATCAACACCACAGGAAACTTGTAACGCCTCTGCGGGCAGAGAGATTTGCGCCGGATAGGTCTGGGCCGCCTTAGCGACTTCAACGTCGGAGCGCTTGGCGGAGACAGGCTGGCCCTGTTTGTGAAGTTTTCCCAATCCCAAGCATCCCACAGCTCCGCGGGGGGCACCCCATGACCAGAGTAAGCCAGCATTGGATCGCGCGATGAAGTGGTGAAGTCCAGGAACAACTTCAACGATTCGATGCTCCGACCGAGGCAGGGTGGGAGCAAACAGAGCTGGCGGAATCAAACGCGGACGGTCACAGTGGTAAGTATTGGGGCCGAGACCTAGACAGCCGAAACCCCAAACGAGCACCTGTGGCAAAGAAGGGCGGTGGTACGGAGATGAAGAATCGGAAACGGTATGCAAAATATGGTGCTTGGCCGTGCTTCAGAACTCACCTGTCCGAAATCATCTACTACGGCGCACATTGATCCCGCCGATGCGACAGAAATTAAATTGCCGAGCTCGAAATCCGCGAAAAGGGCGGTGTTGTCGTGAACGGGGGACAGGCGTTGCGTCATCGTGCCTACATATTCACGTAAGGGTAATTCAACGGGCTCGGTAACCTGAACCTCGTCGGATATTGTCCAGATCTGGCCATACTCGTTGTTTCCCCATGCAAAGAGGCGGCCACAACGAGACAATGCCAGAACAGTATCTCCACGAGAACTTAATTGCCTAGAAGTAGGAAGAGGAAATACATCTTAACTGTTCTGATTACCATTAATAATATAATCAACTTGAAACATAAATACCAGGCTGTATAAGACGAGCAACTGTAGCAGACAGGACGGACGCTGGTTTTCACAACGATGGAGATGTGGTAACGGATCTATAGAAACATTACGTACCTATGTCTTGCGTATTTCCGCGCTGTTTTGCTTAGGTCCTTTTTGCTGTTATTGATTGTGATTTTTAGTCGCCAAAATGCTTTGGTTCTTCTTCGTGTTTAAGACTGCCAGACGTTCGTCCATCCATCGCGCCCAGTCGTCGTCTCTTTGCAACCCGTAAACAAACTGGGTATCCAGGGCCCAGGTCAACACACCCCAGATCGCTGTTGACGGTTGATCGGTACGGAAACAGGTCATCTGCTCACGTACAGAACCTACCTAACCTACAGCAGCACTGCAATCCAGGCTGGTCATGTCGTAATTAGTTCTACAAAGTGCCGAAAACACGTATTTGACTACATGCCTCACTCGAGGACGGCACTTTATAATACTTATGATTTTCTAAAATCGCAGTGTAACCGAGAAAACGTTCAGTTGGAAGCCTCAGCGAGAAAAATTGGTTGATTCGCAAAGGCGCGCATGTCAGAAACGTCTCCAAACTCCCTGTTCGGTTACGTTATTTGCTGGAAAGCGTACACCACCCTGAAGCCAAGTGTCAGATTCTTCAAAGACTCATAAACTTATAAAAATTTTCCTTGAAGACCGGCACTTCAAACAGGGCATCACCAGCAAAAACAGGAAAAAAAACTCGATAGGGCAAAGATCCGTTACAGGCACGCATACGACGAATACAACCATGATAGTCTAAACAGCACAAATTCTGTTCCCGTCCCACAACGCTCGTTTTCTGTTGCTTTATATGACTGTGCTCAGTTCAGGAACCACAGTTCGGCTTATGTTTTGAATGGCGAGCAAAATTCGGCGGATGGATGAACGTCGCCCCACGTCGATCAAATTATGTGTAAAGTATGGCTTGATTATGAGCGAGGGATGTACAGGGTTCCTGTTCTGACAGTCCTCCTTCATGGGGCGGAGGAAAATATAGTAAAACTACGGAAGAAACCCAAACCACTCACAAATAAGCTCCTTTCGAAGAACGTTAAGATGAAGTGGCAATAACTGGTCCCGGACACTCGGGTCATGATATAGACTAGCACGCTCAACACACATGCCACGCTGAGGCAGATTCCAGTCCGGTGAAACGGTCATACCGCGAGGATGTATGATAATTGTCTGCCAATGTGGTTCCCCTGTAGAGAGGTCACCATTGGCCCACATATGAAAGGGGGACAATAAAACGACACCTTCAAGGCCTTACTCACGTACCGGCCGAAGAGGAGGCCAAGGCGATATCACAGGCACCCTCGGAGTCACCGTTGGTTAGATGTAGTTATGTGGCCAGGCACCCTATGTTATCACAGGCATCCTCGGAGTCACCGTTGGTTAGATGTAGTTATGTGGCCGCACCTAAGGTAAGCTAACCCCAACCACCAGTAATACGGGACATGTGGTAATAGGGATGTTTACAGATGAGGCGGGGGAACGTATAGGCGACAAGGTCAGGTAATTGTATGCAAAAGCTATTTAGAATGCGCGGTTGTACCCTGAGTAGTTGAAAAATAGTTGCCTTAACCACTAACCCTAACCCCCTAACTCTAAGCCCTAAACCCTTAACCGCAGCCCTAAACCCTAACCCTGAAACATCCAACGCGAAAGTTAGAATGAGACGACAGGCCGAAAGTCAAGACGGACCACCCGCAAAGGGCCAAAAAGGTAGACACGGCAACAAAGAAACAAGGCTGCCAACAGAACACACACCGCAACGCACAGCAACACCATGCCCCCGTAATCACACCAACTGAAAATAATGCAGTAGATCAACAGTATTGTGTCCATCAGGTGCGGCTGCATAAGTACATTTTACCTCATCATTTCAAAAACGACCAACCCACATCATGCACAACAAAACAGATATTCTCAATAAGACAATCTCCCCTACATGCTCTAGAGGCAACGTCACATTTTGATAAAGATCCGAGAAGTCAACTCCCCCTTAACCCTGTATCACAGCGGCCCACGCGACTCTCCTGGTAGACACCGTGTGGCGATCGCCTCCCAGGCAACAAACGCATTGTGCACTACTTGCACGGGAACCATTCAATGACTGGGTGGCTTGAGGATCACTCTACGAACATCTCTGTCGTCTTCGTGTACACACCAACATCAGCCGCCGACCAACGCGACCCAGAAGCCTTCTACTCGAAGTTGCAAAAGTTATTTAAAAGACTCCCTCGCCGTGACCTGCTGATGGCTGTCGAGGTCTAGAATGGCCGAACCCGACCCGGCAAATATTCAGTCACCTTACTGGCCACTTTGGGCTTGGCCCTCGATCCGACAATGGTGGGAAAATGCTGAACTTTACTAGCTGAACTGAACTGCTGAACTTTACTGCTGAACTTCACCAGCAAGTGCTTTCAGCACCACCACAAATATTTGTAGATCTGGTATTCAAACGATGGCCGTACGGCCAGTCAGATTTACTACAATCTACTCAACTCGAGGTTGGACAAGTGGGTTTATTTCAGCAATGTAGACGCATGAGAACAAAAATGGAAAGGCTCGGGGGTGATGCCGTATTTTCGTTCGCCCACGTCCGAACTTTAATTTCTCATTCACACCGAATTCGTTACGTGCAAGACGTTTTGCTGTGGCAAAACTACGACAGAACCGACTCTGGGCGGAGAAATCTGGTCTTACTCTACAATTGGAGTCGAGGGACAGGGTAATGGCAAATAGTCATTGTTGAAATCATGGTCGGACACGGGAATATGGAGTCCCCCGGGCGACAGCTGGCCTC